TCTTCTTTCTTTTGAATTGTGAAAAGTAGAAAGGAAACAGCGAGGCTTTTTTATATATCATCATTGTTATATACACAACTGCCTTTCACTTCAGTGAGAATGCATTTGGGACGCATGTGTTTGTCACAGAGCCTCGCTGTTTCCTTTCTACTTTTCACAATTCAAAAGAAAGAAGAAGCACATAACCCACCTGGACTGCGGTAGGTGTTTGGTATAGAGCTGCCTCCACACTCCGAGACTCTGGACATCCACACACAGACACTCCGTCATACTGCTGAGCAGCTGCAAAAATACACACGGGAGAGGAAGAAAGACTGAGTTATGCTGCTGCACGGAGCTAAACTACACTCAAGACCACTGAAGCAGCAGTATCATGTAGAAAAGATCTGTTTAAATTGTGTGTTTCTTACCTCTCTCTTCATGTCCTCTGGACAGTGCGGTGTGGCTCTGGACAGAAATGATGGCAGGTATGTGTGTAATGTGTTCTCGGGTTTGGCTCCAAATGCAAGGACCTTCAGCCGAGGGTACAGACGCCTCAGCTGCTCCTGAAGACTGAACACAAACAAAATGTCTCATTTTAGTACTTAAATAAAGCAAAGAGTCAATGTAAAAAGAATACTGCACTGAGCTGTCGTCTATGTGTTCAAACGTGCACGGGAGAAATGCTTTTACTATTGAAATGTGTCAATGTGACAGCAATATATCATTTACTAATTCTTCATTATTTTATGAAGATGTCAGCTGTTTCCAACTTTTTACTTTTTTTCCTACAACCAAAACTCCCCTTATTAAAAATGTCCCAGTACTAAAAAAAGAGGCATTTCCAATAATCTTCTTAAATGAATTCAGTCCACATATAAATCAACCAGTCACTTATTGTGATTGTTTGATTAAGTGTAATCTGGGCTTAAACATTCACAGCCATCCAATGCGCTACACTCACTTCTCTCTCCACTGTGTGTATTCATGCTGTGTGCTGGGGATATTCATCAATGAACACTTGTCATGAGTTGGGTTTCAGTGTTTGCATTATGCCACATTTACCTTGATGTCAGGGCGTTCTTGGGCATGAAAGCAAAATCTAACAAAGGAAAGAACTCTTTAGGACCCATGATGCCAAATCCCTTTGTCAGGTTTGCATGAAGTCTGGGAAAAGAAGAACACGAACAGAGTCAGAATAAAGTTTAATTTTGTCCAACATTCAAAAAAAAAAAAAAAAAAAAAAAAAAAGAAGAAATTCACATATTTCTTAGGAGGACTTACAGGAGAAGTCTCTCCAGATATGCAATGGCATATGAAGACAAGGCCTTCACTCCCAGCACAGGCAGCATGATACCCAGCCACACTGAAACACAAACACAGACCTTCATTAACATGAAATTAACTTGTAGTTCTGACATTAAGTGTGTCAACAGTCGGCCTTTTCAGCTTTCAATTTTAAAAAAAAAGCCCAGAGCAACTGCAGAAGTAAAACATGGCTTTTTTTCTTGCACTTAATACTTATTTAAGTGACAGAGTAAAAAAAAAGTCGAGCTCTGCAGGCATTTCTTCTTCACTGTTTTATATCATAATTCTGTTAAGAACTAAGAATTTTAAATGCACTCAGATGTCATTTTGTTCTCGTGACTTTCGCGGTTTCAATTTTAGTTTAGAAGCTTAGTCGATAACCTTATTTTGCAGGTTCTTATGCAATCTTTGAAGAACATTCATCCTCTGCTGCCCACATACGAACATCCACCTCACAGCCTCAACAATTAGCAGGCAGCAGACAGTGTTTAAGCTCACAGATGGCCGTCGCTGGACGTGTTGCTGCTCTACTGTGCACTGTTGCTTCATTAACCCCCAACCCAGAAAGTGTGTTAGCACATTTTGTTGGGAAAGGGGGAGAAAGTGGAGACAGACTGGAACTAACACAGTGCAGAGGAAGATAAAAAAAAAAAAAACTGTGTGTACATGTTCTAAGTAATGTGTCGTGAGTGTATGCGTTGTGTGTTTCACTGTGTACTACCTTTTAGTCCCTGGCTGAGGTCATAAAATCCAGCTTGGCCAAGAGCCCACATGATGGTCAAACACTTCACTGGACGATTCTGAACGGATCGCAGTAACTCCAGATACTAGAGGAGACGAACAGGAGGAAGGGTATTACAACAATGTTGTAGCAAGGTTATTGCAAAAAGACAAATCCCCAGTACGTCGGATGAATTTTTGGAAAATAAAGCAATTGCATAATTAGTATTGTTACACATTTTAAGTACATTTGGAGCAGACAAGGGCCGTGATCTGCAGGACTCAAGGACACACTCTCACTCACACACTCGCACTCACTTCTGGCAGGTTTTGGGTGGCTATCCTGGGTTTGTCCTGCAGGATTGCCTGGATGCAAACTCTGTAGCCATGCAGAGGTTCTCCTGGAGACGGTGAGAAAGAGGCAGACACAGATTAACACTCGCTTCAATGCACAGGAAAGCAAACCCGCTTCCCGTGTCCCATGCAGACTCATTAGAATAAACCGCCCGCCACCTGAGTATCTCCACCCACGGCTTGAGAACTACCAGAAAATACGGTGCGCCATATTTACCCGCCTGTCTGTCCATCTCCCTGAGCATAGTGTAAACACAGTGGTCGAAGAAATCCGGCAGAACATCACTGCAGCGTCCGATGAGGCCTTTGATCACCCCTTTCAGCTCTTTCCCTGAAAGGCAGTATGGGTAGTCTGGGGACAAAACCACAGAAAAAGAACATGAAAATAAGTCCGTGCCCTGCAGACACTTTTAATACCCGACAGTTTGTTTCCTTCACACAAATAAAAACAGTCGTCTGACCGACCATGAGCATAGCTGCTGAGTGTGGGCTCGGTCTCTGGCGCAGTCAGATTGAGGTTGAGGTATCCTGCCAGGTCTTTGACCCACACAGACGGGTTTTCTGGGAACAGGGTCTGACTGCGAGCCAGCTGCTGCTTCAGGTCCCCGACATCCAACTGGGAAAAAAAGGGAACAAGACAGAAGGAGGATGTACGATCAGAAACAACGCGTCCATTATGTGAAGAGGAGGCCTTGGTTTCAGCATGTGATAAGTTTGCTTTGAAGACGCTACAATGCAGCATTGTTTATCTGTGTGCTTGTATGAAGAGGTTTAAAAGATCTTAGAGGTTTTGCAAAGCCCATTGCATTCATCTTTTCTTTCTAGTCACTGACCAAGATGAGCCAAATGATCGCACCACTATTGCCTGATAAGAAGAGAGAAAACAGAAGTGCAATACTCACAGTTTTGAAGGCTTCCTCGAGGGTCTTTTGAGTTGCGGGGGGTACCGTGCTGCTGGAGTGCGATTTCTTGGATGGTTTACTTGAAGAGGGCTTCTTGTTTTCGGACTCGGCCGGCGGTGGAACCTGCTCCTTGTTCTGTTTCTTTCCCATCTTCTCAAAGTTGTCGTACAGAGTCTCCGACATCACCTGGGGTGCTGAAAGGAAACAAGGCAGCGGTGCGTTTAGATAAGAGCGTCTGTACTTTTCAAACTTCTTTGGTCTCCTACAACACTTTCTTAGATCAACCCCGTGTTGTAACTGTACAAGCTAATCCATGAGACCTTGGCATTCCCCTCCCCTCAGTCAGCGTTTCCTCCCGCCCTCCATGACTTGCACAATAGGCTCGGTTATTATCCAAGAAAATGTTCATGCAACACTCATTACATTCCACAGAGAAGAGAGTTAAGCACCGGCAGCATTTCAAGTGTTACACATTCAGACCCAATTTGTAACGAAACTGTGTCCACTCCAACTGAGTTCATATTAAACCAGTTGACCAGTTTTGAGGGTCAATATACCTCGTATACTGAGGTAGCAACACCCAGATATTTTAGGCCTGTTTACTGCTACTAAACACCAAAATAATCCTGCTTAAGTATCTGGTATTCCCCAGAACCTTTATACTTTTATTCCCAGCATGTAAAAGCCTCTAACTTCTACTTCCCTGTTTGTAGCCCTCAGACCAAAGCTCATTCTTTCCTAAATCTAAAAAAAAAAAAAAAAAAAAAAGCCAAAATATGTTCCTTTATTTGCGTTAATGTCCTCTTACTTATACGTTTGTTGAGGAATATTTTCAGCCGTGGATTAATACACATGTTGTGCTCTAGTGAGTATTTCAGACAGCATCAGACATCATGGCTGGTTTTGGCCCTTTAAAAAGTATGTTTTCAAAATAAGACTGAATCATGGAAACTCATGCTGTTATTATGAAAACTATTTCAGAATAAGCTCTAAGCTTAACTAATGCAGCAAAGACATCTTCAGTATTTAACTCAATACGACTGTTAGACCCCGCCCACAAACTTGAGTCTTTGCTGACAGAGGTCACCAGTTGTTCACTGATCATTCAGTCATACACGTTGCTGACGAACCTCAGTCTATATCTGGTCAGCGTGTGTGTGTGCAAGTACAAGACAGGACCCGTTCCATCACATACCGGATTCAGTTCCCTTTTGAAATGTTGGTCAATCAGGATGATTCTTCACTTCTCTGAACTGAAGTCAGTCGTCTTCTCTGTGAAGCTTAGTCAGCATTACCAGAGCTCAACAGCGACGAAAGTACCGAAAAACTGACAAATGAGGTAATCTGACCAGGTGTTCGTGTCTATAAATACGAAACAAATATCCATACGTGTCGGGAAGTCGGTCACTTCCAGCAGCAGCATGAGGACACATCTGCTGCATGCAGTAACATGGCACCAAATAGTGAGGCCACTCGAGTGATGGCGAAAGGAACGGTTGAAATATGCAAATGGGAGCTTTAAACAAATGTGCTATGACACAAGTGTACGACGTATGAACCGACACTTGTTTGAGGACAGGACTAGAGATGACACAAACCACCATAATGAATACCAGTCTATTCATTCTCTCTCCTTTAAATTCAGACACAGCACAGTGTTTTTGTTTTACAAGGAACTTTGAAATTCTTTTAATCACTTGTAAAGTTGTCGGTGGTTCGGCTCCACGATTGCGGTACAACAACAGCGGTTAACAAAGGTTTTGAGCTTGAGCTTGTAAAATCAATATGTTGACAATTTCCATGAAAGTATACCGATGAGCATGACGCAAAATCAGATAAGGTTTCCAGTTTTTACATGCTCCGGTCCACAGTGAGTAATCTGTACCAAATTCTCCACTCCACCTCAAGAAAACTTTGGAAAAAAAAAAGAAAGAAGAGGACCCGTGTCGAGCACTTGGCACCGTCACTTGTTTACCGTGGTACTTTTTTTAAATGAAGAAACCGATGGCCCTACTCCTAATTAAACAGGACAACAGGAGCCAAGACGGCATTTCCAAGAATCTAAATTAAAGAAAATCACTCAAACAAAACCACTTGTTGATTAGCCACCAGTCCTTGTAAATGTCAAACACCCCCCCGAGACAAAGAGAGGAGTGTCTTCTCGCATTCCAGAAGTGGCTAAATTATCGTGATTGTATTCTAATGCGTCTCTATTCTGTTTGGGATCTTCTTCGTACTCTGTAATTAAACATTTCACTTCACTGTTGATTATCCATTCACGGGAAACATGTCCCGTTTAGGTGGCTGCTAGCACGCAGATGTTACACTTTGTGAATATTAATTTAGGCAATATTGGTCTTGTGGAGGTTGCAACTCATATTCTTTCCTACCTACTGTCTCAGTGAAAACCTTTAACACACAGTACATCTACAGTCTCTGAAGTATTAGTACTCGAGTCACAAAGTGTAATGAACACCTACATCGTCTCCACACTACATTGTACAACAAATGTTTTATGAACACTTACTGAAAGGAAGTTGTCATGGAGGTGTGTAGTCCTCTACTGGATCAGGGAACCGTTCAGGTCTACTATGTAGTGTGTAGTGAACGAGTGACTTCGGACTCAGCAGAGGGTCGTGGTGGGTTTTGGTAACATGAGCAGTTGCACCCAACGTGGCCCTCCTACAGGGTGGGAGGACTGGGAATGGATTGTCACACCAGCAGAAGAATATCTGACAGGATGCTTCACATGTACGGAGCAAACCATTCTCAGTCCACGAACGCACAACAGCAAGGCATGTCTTGCTTATCCAATCACATTTCTTTCTCCAATCACATTTCTTTCTCCATGTATGCGGCCATAACGGAGCCACTGCCAACTTTTATCTGCCGTTATTAAGACATGAATTGTGTCGTAAAAAGGTTATGCCGGTATTTACTTTAAGTAGAGATACTGATATCTAATATCAATACAGATATCAACTTGTTCTATAAATTCTATCAGATTTGAGTTTGCAATTTGTAGAGACCATAAAATAAACTAAGTGGATAAGTTTGAGGTACCCTGAAGATATCCGGCATCTAAATCAGTCCAATAACATGTTGGACGTGACATAATCTCCTCTGTTAAAAGAAGAGAACATGTCATTTGAAAGAAGTTCACCATATATAGATATATATAATATCAACTGTCTTAAATGTGACCGTCTCATGGTGAAGATGTCTGTAACATGCAATCACACATGAAGCTATTTGAGAAGAAATATCTTGGCTCAATGACAAATAATAAGTCAAGTAAGATCAGATAATATATTTCTAACATTTTTCTTTTAATGTGTTTTCTTGTGAAGATACCACCCACTAAAGATTTGGGAACCTGTGACAGATACACAACAGACACAAAAGCCTCAAGCCGTCCAGAATTATTAGCCTGGTAAAGCCGGAGCCCCCTTTCAGAGGAAAGGTATGAGCCTGATTACACTATGCCAGTAGCAGTTAGATGACTTCAAATACTTCACATAAAGTACTTTAGTGGTGAGAGAGTTCATACACTGTGCTCAGACTCGGCAATAATAAAACAGCTGTGTTGACGCTGAAAACCTGTGTAGGTCTACTTTTTTTTTTATTATCCCCACACAGAAACAAATGTATCTGGAATCAATAAGGGAATCGATTATAGAATTGGTATATATAAAATCTTAGTAAATCTGATCCCCAGTTCTTTTTGGACAAAACCTTGACACAGTCATGGTCTCTGTGACCGGACAGACTTTGGACCGGCTGATTCGCTGATAAAACTGGTGCAGAAACAAAATGCGGTGACCGAGTGAGATCTGAAGTTGCTGTTGAGAGGGTGCGGTAGATCAGAGTAGTTGATGTTGTTGTTAGGTTTACTGAATGTAGAGTACGATTAATATAAAAACAAACAATCCATCAAATGTTTGTAGTTATGTTCTACTACATTGGGCCAATGAGGAATCCTCACACAGTAAACTTTCAAAGTTAATAAGGTTACTGCTCTGTTTGAACCTAGATTTTAGCACATAATCCAGTCTACAAGATACTATACAGCAATAATCCACGACACACCTTTCAGCTGATCATCACACCTATCATGAGCTGATATCGTGCTTTGTTTGTTGTGGTAAATCGGCTTAATTTGATTTACACACAGTGAGCCTGGGGCTTTTGGGACCCCTGGAGTTCTGGGACTCCAGGTCAGTTGCCCACTTTAGCCAGTTGGTAATCCAGCCCTGATCCCTGATCTAGACCGGTCAGCAGGATGAGCAGATGTTCGTAGTTTCACTTTGATCTACATACTGTATATCATTCTTTTTCTGAAGGCTAAATGATCCTCTTGAACGGCAGGGGTCTAGACTTCTAACAAATGTTACTCAAACAGGAGCAAGTAGCGCATCTGTTTTTGGATTATTTTATTACACATATAGTGCACTAATCTTTAAGGGACCAGTAAATGTCCCATGGTCCATCATCATAATGAAGAAGCACGTCACCTAGTCCAACGGTGTGGCTCATTTATGCTTTTTAATAACATTGCATCAGGCTGTGGTCACACAAACAACAAGCTACTTAAATCATAAGATGTTCTATTTGTTGACAACTATAGACATATAGAATATTGCCAAAACGAGCACACAGCTGCTAGCACATGCTTCAGAGGTGCAGCTCCTCAGTGATGACGTTGCCAGTGTTGACACTGCTTTAAAGCCTGCTAGACAGCTAACGCTAGCACAAGCTAGCAGTTTATTGTAGAGTATCTCTAGCAGGATAGCCATTTAGCATTTATTTTTTTAATTAATGTGTCGGCAGAGAGGCTAAATAATAGCCATTCACACGAACTAGTAAAGCACGGGGCAGCCAAAATAAATGCCGTAAGACTTAGCGTTAGCGTCACTGCGCGATGCTAGGCTACATCAGCTAGCTTGTCAAATCAGATGACAGCGACAACGCTAAGCCGCTCTCTCCATTTCCAGTAAATTACTGCCATAACCGTCAAGACCCTGAAAAGTTAATATGTAAAGAGTGAGCTAAGCTCGTTGACATAGCCACACACGTAGCCCCATCCTCCTCCCTTCATTTAAACGTGTACAGTGAGATAAATGGGTCACGGAGCAGGAGCCATGTTCACTCACGTCTGGACGGCTGGTTAGATTCTCCCAGAGCTTTCCTTCCTCCGGGTTTCTTGTCAGACGAGGTCTTGCCTCCTCCTGCGCTGCTATTCTTCTTCCCTTTCTTAACTACCTCCCATTTACCTGCTGCATTATTACTTGAAGCCATGTCTCTGGTCCAGAATGTTTTATATATATATATATATATATATATATATGTCGACTTCCTGCCTCCTGCTTCCCTGTTGAATGAAACGGGTCGACTCGACTCAACGGCTCTGAACGTTAAACCGTCCGCGTGCCACGTCTCTTTGTCGGCATGACGTCAGAGTGACGCGTTTGGACCGTAACATTCAAGTTCAGATAACAGATAACCCAAAGTAACAGTCAATATAAGCTTTTCCTATGTCAATGTAAAACAAATGTACGTGCTTTAAAAAAAACACAGTGATGGGAGAAGTATTCTGATCCTTTATTTAATTAAAAGTTGCATACTAATGCAAAACCTTGGGATATGCAAGTTGTAGTTTCAGCAAAATTCACTTGAAGTACTCATTCTGCACCCTGTCAGGGTAATGTTTTTGGATTAATATTACTGCTGCATTAAAGTTTATGTTGCATTTTACTGCTGTAAATGTTTAGGTTCTAATTCTTCAGTAATCAAATTAAAAATCACCAAATATGGACATGCATGGTTTTCACTGGACATTTTAAGGGTATGACAAATTGTGATCTGAGAAATAACTAAAGACAAATGTTGCATGTAATGGAAATATTCAAGTAAAGTACAAGTACCTCGAATGCCCACTTAAGTTAAGTACAGTGCTTGAGTAAATGTACTTCATTATAGTTCACCACTGGTGACAGGTGAAATATTAATCACAGTTCTGTCTAAACATTTTGTTTAATAATGGTGTCCGCTTGCAAGTTTTAACCAGTATTTATCAGTAAACACTCACATATCTTCACAGCCAAATCTATCTGATTTAATGTGCCTATAGCCGGCGGTGGAAAGTAACTTTCTTCTTTTTTTACTAGTTTTGAACCAGAACTACACTAGGAATGTATCCTCTCATCCCCGTCAGCTCTCTGTCGTTGGCTCCACGCCCTGTGAGACCATTGGACCGACTGCAGTCTTCTGTCTGGCTGCCGTCTGTGGAACAGACGGCGAGTTTTGGCTGCAGTGTCTCTTAAAAGAGACACGTAGAGTCGCTCAAATGAGTCTTACTTAAATGTTTGGCACAACCCTTCTGGATCTCTCTCAAGACCTCCACTCAGTATTAGTGGAAGCTTAATCACGGACCACAGTGGACGTCCTACTGGGTCAAGATGGTGGTGTTTCCTTGGCAATATACCTCTCTCTCTCTCCTTTTGTCCCAAAATCTGTTCCAAGTGCAAATCATTTCTCTGCAACATGATGGCCAGACTGAACATCAGTGTGTGTTTGAGAACACCGCTCCTGATAAATGAGAAATACAGAACACACCACAATACGGTTTGTTAGTTTTCTGGAACATCAGAGCTTTATTTCATTCAAGCATTAACTGCAAATAATGCAAGTTTATCACATGGCTGCTGTAGTAACAAATGGTGAGAGAGGGTTTGTTATGTTTGCTGGTTCAACTATTGGATGTCACTCACACAAACACCCCACACCAGTAGTTCCTTTACAGCTAGTGTGGCGTTTTTAACGCTTTGCAACAATGCTGAATTAAATATGGGAACAGAAGAATAAAGCTCAAACGTTGATCTCAATTAACACAGTAAAACATTGGTATTTAGTAGTGTCTGTCTGTAGTCTACCTTTAATAGCATTTGTTCATTCATCATATTTAAAGGCTGACATTTGTCTGATAAATAACTCTTACACTGACGCCTCTAACTCGGCCATTGAGGAGTTCAACGCCAATAGAAAATAACTCTTTAAAACTAATCTAAAAATGAAATCTTCCTGTATCTTCACTGCTTGTTGGCATTTTGCATGATTTCAGTCAGTTTAGCTACATTTGGTGCAAGACCTTCAATCTCCCCAAATCCAAAACCACTTTAAAAAGAAAAAAAAAGATGAATAAATAAAAACATAAATACACCAGGCTGTCTCATAAACAAGCTATCTAAACAGTCATGAGCAAACCCTCTCTGGTGGGACACACTTTGATGAACAAAATGCAGACTCTTGATGAGGATTTCTTGATGCATGTGTGCAGTTCAAAGTCTGCGATATGTCCGGCGGCTGAATGTACGTTCATGCGTGTCATCATATTCCATATGCTCAAAATATATGTGCAGGCCTCCCTCCTTGGAGGCGTGACACCATTTATAATCTTACCGTGTGAAATCTACAACCAAAACCTCCTTAAAAACGGGTCACATTGTGTGGAAAACTTTTTGTGTGGTTTCATATGTAAACTATGCGGAGCACCCTGATGCATGCGTGTCTGTGTGTGGTCACCAATTAAAGTGCAAGGTGAGAGAAAAGTGACCTGCCTCTTGAGACAGACGGATTGATAGCACAGCACTGTTGGCTCCAGGATGGCAGTGCTGTAGTCTCTTTGCTTTTAATCTGAAACCGAGCAGGCTACAGCGGCCCCTGCAGTGCAGCCGTCCCCTCTGGTAACAGGTTAAGAGTGAAGTCGAGTGAGCCGAGCCAGGCTGCTGGGCTCTGGTCCAGACCCGGTTCTGGGTGAAGTGTCCTTAGGTAGTGTTTGGGAAGCAAGGATGTGCAACAAAGTCGTTGTGGATATGGACAGCCGCAGACAAGATGGGAGGAGTGTGTGGGCAGATTGTAAAAAATGTAAAATATAAAAAAAAGGGGCAAAAAT